ATTCTTATAACTCCAAACAATTCATTAAAAAAAGATGCATATGTACATCACGATCCAGTAAATGGTTGGTTAACAAGACCAGATTATAAATGTATCATACATGGAAAAGAAGGACATCCTTATTTCGCCGTAAAAGGAGATCTTGCATCCTGGATTGATGGGAATGATAACGAAAAAAAATGTTTACCTGAAGCAGAAGGCAAATCAACATTATCGATACTAGAATTACATGAATTAATCAGATACATCGCGTGTGAAAAAGTAAAAATGCAAGAATACAGCAAAGAGGAAACCCAGAAACTTAAAGATCTACCAGAAAATTATTGGGATGACTATGGGTTTGATAAAATAAAAGAAAAACTCATTGATAAAGAAAACACCGTGATAATCATTGATGAAGCACATGATAAGAGTGTTAAAAATACCGCGTACCAACACGTTCCACCGTTATTGATAAGAATGGATTATAAAGTATTGTTGATGAGCGCGACATTTGAAGGAAAAGATTTTTCTATTTCCACAACTAAACCAAGAAAAGTAATGTCTTTAACTAAATTCGGTAATCAAGTTAAATGGGAAGAAGAAAAACATCTTATTTATTTTGCAACCACAAAAGATATTTATGGAAGAACTGTGACTGGTGAAATAGATTACAATAATAAAATATTGATTTCGGGATTAAAACCTGAAAAAAGAAAAATGTTAGAAGAAAGTGGTATTCCTTTTGTAGTGTTTGATGATACCAATTCTGATGCGATAAGTTCCATCACACAAAACATGCCAACAGGATCAATATTCTTATTTAACATCGATCATGAAATGGGAATTTCGCCTTGGGCAAGAGTTTTAATTTTGACTGGTGAGACACTTGAAGAACCGCTTGGTCGTGGTCCAAGTAATGCGGAAAAATGGAGAAGAGCTAATTTTGTGATAAGATACTCATCATTAGCTAGTATGATACAAAGAATCGGGAGAGTTGGAAGAATGTTGCCTGGATGGGCTTTTTTACTTACCTTAAAACTAGAAGAAACTAAACCATCAAAAGATGTTATCTACCATTTGATTAATGGGATAATAGCACCTGCTAGTGAAAACCCCATGGAATATCTAGCAAAAAATAATTATAAACTAACAAAAAAATCAGATGATTACACATATCAAAATTTCTTAAGATTGGCAGTTGCTTTACCGAAAAAACGAGGATTACCAATTGAAGTTGTCATCATTGGAACAACCAAAGATGCGAGCGGAAAATATCCTATTTTTAACATGAAACCTGATCCAAAAAAAGATGCTGGATTGATAAGAGAAGAAGATTTAGTATATTGGCATGAAAACGAATCACCTCAACCTCCAACAATTAACAAAGAAAATCAAAAAAATATTCAATTAATCATGCTGGAAAATCGATTAAGTTCATTGGATCTGGAGAAACAGAAAAAGGTAGAAATTAAAATAGAAAATACTCTTGTTGATAAAATTTGGGATTTCTCTTCTTCAAAAAGAAACGAGAAAGGAGAATTAATTCACGAAGAAATACCTCCTGATAAAGTTGAATTGATAAAAAATGATGTTTGGAGCGTGATTAAAAAGGTTTGGCAGAAAAAAATAAATGAAGAAAAAATTAAATTTAAAAAATCTGATCAGAATCTATTTAAAGAATACGTTGGTTGGTACAAATTTGTAAATAATTTGACAATCAATGCTGAAAGAAAAAAAAATAGTAAAGGCGAATTAAAAGAAGAATGTGTTATTGAAATTAATTACAAAGACAAAGATTTAAAACAGATAAGAAAAGAAGATATTATAAATTATTCATTAATCAAATCCATACCAGAAACTGAATATGAAATTTGTGATAGATGTAATTCTTTTACCTTGGGATTATTTGAAATATTATGTCTCAGACATGATCCTTTATACATATGTAAATACTGTTTAAATATTTATCCACGTATAAAATACACCGAAGGAATCGGGTATCATGAAATTGGTTATATTTAAATAAAAAAATGTTGCTTTTATTTTTTATTACAATGTTATTGTTTACAAATGTTTATACAAAATTTTCTTGTATCACTGTCGATAATAACGGAAACACATTTGCAATATATGATTGTTCACGTGTGGAAATTACTAAAAAAAAATATGACATCCCTCGGAATAATTACCTAGTTCGGAATTTAAATTTTATGGCACAGTTGATCAAACAGGGATTGGATATGGAATTAAATTTGATCATACCGAAAAAGGAAATAGATACGGAATTTTACGAAACCTTAAAAACAAGAATTGCTAACGAAATGGATATTGATAAATTAAATAATGAATATAGCAAAGAAATTGAAGAAAGAAAACCTAATCTTGAAGAACATATGTACCATGAATTACATCATTTAAGAAAAAAACGAATAGAAATGCTCAAGATATTTTACATGCTTAAAGAAAAAATACTACAAACTAAATTATTTGAAGATTTAGAAAAAAATGGTGAAATATTCAACCTGATCTCAAATACGGAATTAAAAAATGAGATGTTAAAAAACGAAATTGAAAATTTAAGAATAGGAAAGATTAGCGAGCTTAAAATGGCAAGACTTGAAAAGGAAACATATTTTACACGTGAAATAAATAACAGTAAAAACGTTCAAGATTTAGAAGATGATGAAGAAGCAAAATTCAATAAAGAAATTTCCGAATGTGATGTCTTTACAAAAGAATTAAAGCAAAAGTATAAGAAAATGAGAGAAAATCGTTATTTTTTAATATTAAAATATAAAAGTATTTTGGATCAAATGAAAATCGATGATAACCTTGAACATTTTAAAGATAATGAAAAATACGACCGCGTTATTCAAAAAATCAATGATAAAATTTTAGAATCTGAACTGCAAACTAAAAGGAAATTGAAATTGAAAGGTGAACCTATCCAATATCACACTTCAAACAATGAAGATGCTATTCAAACCTTTATTAATTTAAAGAATCAAATATCACATGAAAATAATTATGAAAAAATATTTAATAATTATTACTCGGATAAAATTCAAAAATCACTTAATTTATCAGAATATCAAGAAAATAAATTATATACTTATTTAAATCAAAAGATTGAAGAATATAATTTTTACAATGTGTATTTAAACAAAATACAAAATTGTGAAAATGAAAAAGAAATAGAAAGCTTATTTGAGAAATACAAAAAATTTTATAAAACATTTAACAAAAATATGTTTAAAACCATTTATGAAAATCTTTATAATAAATATCTAAATATTAGCAAAAATAAATATGATAATGTTGTAGATGACGAAACAGGATTAAAAAATAAAATAATATATGAGATGGAAAAAACATTATTTCTACCAACATTAGCAAAAAGAGGACCAATAGATACAATAATCAATAAAAAAATAAACAATCAAATAATCAAAGAAGAATTACAAGAATACCGTGAATATTTAGAAAAAAAATTACATGAAACATATATCATCTTTAACTTGGAAATATATTTAAAGTTGATTAACACACAAGAAATCATTAACAGAAAAATCATTAATATTATAGATAAAGAATTTATTAAACTATCAATATTTAAAGATTTTCATAATATTATTCTCTATAGAAATTCTTTTGATTATCTAGAAAAACGAATCAAGATTCAATATAACAAATGTCTCTATAGAAACATTGAAAATGATTTAAACCATTATTCAGAAAATATTGAATATTTTGAAAATAATAACAAATACGAAACAAAAATACATTTGTTGAATAAAGAACTAGTAAATGAAAATCAAATCAAATCATTGAATGATAAGAGAATCGGCAATCTTAAACAATTTAATACTCTTTCAAATAAAATAATAGATATGAATCATCATAAAAAACGAACAATAAAATTATTCATGAATATAAAAGAAAAAATATTTTTAGAAACAGATATTAACAAATTGGAAAATCACATAAAACAAGATATCGTATGGTCTGATTACCAAAAAGGTAAATTATCAGAATACACCAAACACACTTTAAGAAATCTGGATCTTTATAATAAATTGAAAAACCAAATAATTAACTGTGAAGATATTGATGAAATAGAACATGACATCATGCAAAAATTCAAAAAAATATCTTACACGATGAATTTGAAATTAAAAATCGATTTATTTCAACATATAGAAAATAAATTTTTAAATTTACATAAAGATCTTGATATCATAAATGAAAATAATATAGAAGATATGATAAAAAATGAAACAGGATATTTATTATTAAACACACGTAATGTCTATGATGAAAAGATAAATTCCTTGATTGATGATCCTATCTCTCATACAGAATATCAAAAATTTCGACAAACAATTTTCAATACTTTATTCAGATACGAAACAAATATCAAATTAAACACATACCTTGATCTCGCTTCACACAACACCACAAGTAATTTCATCAATTTTTGTTTGAAAGAAATCGAGTTTATTTTAGAAATCGGATATTATTCATTAGGAAACAGTACCATTCTATATAATAATAATAAGCAAATATTAATACCTGATTACAAAGATAAAATTAATCAAATCAATAATTTAAATATATTATATAACAAAATCAAATACAGAGAAATTGAAAAAGAAATCATGTACGAAAATGATATAAATACATTAATTAATAATGAAAAATAC